TTTGTTTTTTTTTCTTTAGTCTTATATTATCTTTATGTTCTGTTATTCTTGTGTTAAAATGTCCTATTCCAGTATAAATATCTTCGCAGGAACAAGAGATTACACAGATGTTGTTCTTATGCTAGTCGTCTATGGTATTTTGTTTTTGTTTCTTTAGTCTGATATTATCTTTATGTTCTGTTATTCTTGTGTTAAAATGTCCTATTCCAGTATAAATATCTTCGCAGGAACAAGAGATTACACAGATGTTGTTCTTATGCTAGTCGTCTATGGTATTTTGTTTTTGTTTCTTTAGTCTGATATTATCTTTGTGTTCTGTTATTCTTGTGTTAAAATGTCCTATTCCAGTATAAATATCTTCGCAGGAACAAGAGATTACACAGATGTTGTTCTTATGCTAGTCGTCTATGGTATTTTGTTTTTGTTTCTTTAGTCTGATATTATCTTTATGTTCTGTTAGTCTTGTGTTAAAATGTTCTATCCCAGTATAAATATCTTTGCAGGAACAAGAGATTACACAGATGTTGTTCTTATGCTAGTCGTCTATGGTATTTTGTTTTTGTTTCTTTAGTCTGATATTATCTTTGTGCTCTGTTAGTCTTATGTTAAAATGTTCTATCCCAGTATAAATATCTTTGCAGGAACAAGAGATTACACAGATGTTGTTCTTATTCTAGTCGTCTATGGTATTTTGTTTTGTCTGTGCTAGCATGGATCTGACTGTTCTATAGGATTTCCATCGGATATCTATGTTGAAATTTCTGAATGAGTTTTGCTTTTTCGCTAATACTCTGTACATGAGGTATATAAATAACTGTAAAATGTGTGTTCCTTAGTGTTATTGAGTTTTTTGTCGTTGTTGCTGCTGTTCATGATATGTTTTATAAAGTTATAAGGGTTTGAAATATTGTATATATATACAGCTTCATCCTTGATGGAACTTTGTTAGAGCTGTTTTCAGCTCTGCTGTTCAGATATTGGGCGATACTGTGATACTATGGAAGGTGGACTGTAAGAATGGGAGTTTAGTGATCTTTCTGTATGACTTGGTTTTAACTATACTGTAGTTGTAAGTTTGTCATCATGTTTGATGATAAGAATGTCCATGAACGGCTATGTTTTGCTATTTTCCATTTGCATGGTAAATTAAATCCGCTGGTCTATAGAGTTTAGAGTTCATGAAAAGAAGTTAAGCGTTCCTGTCCATGTATACAGATGATAAAATTGTCATCAATAAGGAATTTTTGAAAGCTGAATAGCTTTTCTGTGGAGTTAAGTGTTACGTGTTGGAAATCTTCCATGTAAATATCTGTTAGGACTGGAGAGCACGTGGCAAGGCCGTCAGTTCGTAGGGGCGTAGCTTCCTCTATGCAAAAACACAGCCAGTTGCATATCCTTTTCCTTTCCTTATTTTCTTCTTTTATTCTTCTTTCTTTTTGTTTTATTTTATCACAAGAGTATCTATTCACCATGAAATATTTTGAAACAAAAAAAAGAGAATAAAACAATGCAATAATCAGATCCCCTGTAAACTTCCTGCAACATTTTGAATGCAAATTTTTGAAGTTCGGCCAAGAGCCTCTGCTTTGGACTTTTGCACATGGTTAATACCTCAACTAAGCCTCGTTTATTCCTAGAATGTCTTGTACTGGAAGTAAGTGGACACACACTATAGTTAGTTCAATGCTAGCTTAAATGTTCATAGGCAATTATTTAACAGTTGCTGTTTAGTAATGTGAAGAGTTTCTGTCAGAGGAACATTGGAAAACAGATGTGTCACATCAAAACTAAAATATTCTGATGATTAGGTTATAAATTTTAGTGTTGATGAACAAAATCCTTGGAGTTGTGAATGTAGTGTTCAGTGTTGCCTGAAAGTGATGACAGTAAGGTATCCAGGAACCCAGATATGTAATAAAAGAAAGTTTATGGCACTGACAATAGCTCTGAGAGGGATGTTGGGTTAGTTCATAGAGTTGGAGTGATCTAACGCGAGTTTTTGGAATTTTTAGATGCGTTCTCTTTTATTAAGTCCAATCTTTTTGTTTCTTTATAATTTTTTGATGAGTATTTCTGTCTTGTCTGTTAAGTCGTTGTTTACCTTCTTATAGAGGGAACCATCTTGTAATTTTGGTCTTTGTTATCCAAGATGACTGTGCTGTTTCCTTTGTTTGCAGGGAGAATATTAATATCGTTGTATCGTTTTAGATTATAGGAGGCGATCTGTTCTTGTCTATAAAGGTTAGGTTTAGGTTTCTTAGTGCTTCTGGGGATATCATAACTCGAGTTTCTAAAATGCTCTGTATTTTGTTTCCCGCCCCCCCCCCAGTAGCACAGCGGTATGTCTGCGAACTTACAACGCTAGAAACCGGGTTTCGATATTCGTGGGGGGCAGAGCACAGATAGCCCATTGTGTAGCTTTGTGTTTAATTACAAACAAACAATTTTGTTGTGGAGTAACAGTTTCAATAAAACATCACTTTGGCCTGTATTTTGTTGCGGTGTGACATACATGTTTAACAAACTACAGTGTGGGTATGGCAGCATCATGTTATGTAGCTGGAGAAGTGTTTGAAATCCAGGATTCACTGAATAGTGGGGATACACCGCAAACTTTACGTGTGAAATGTAATTAATCTTAGACATTAGGAGCAAATGTGGGTGCAAAACTTCATTATATTTTATTTAGTTTATCGTACAGGTGTATAACCATCCTGGGTACTGGAACGGTATCTGTATGAGATAAAACAGTTTCATTACTGATAGTCTGTTTATTTTAACGTATTCTTACTTTATTGCCAATATGCTTAGACGGTAATATGGAAGTTTTAGAGGCCAAAGCACACAACTTATTCTGAGTTTTCAGACAAATCCGGTTTACATTACTTGACAAACATGGTACTTTACTTCTTTGACTGGCCCGGCATGACCAGGTGGTTAAGGCGCTCGACTCGCAATCTGAGGGTCGCGGGTTCGTCACACCAAACATGCTCGCCCTTTCAGCCGTGGGGGCGTTATTATGTGACGGTCAATCCCACTATTCGTTGGTAAAAGAGTTGGCGGTGGGTGGTGATGACTAGCTGCCTTCCCCCTATTCTTACACTGCTAAATTAGGGACGGCTAGCGCAGATAGCCCTCGTGTAGCTTTGAGCGAAATTCAAAACAAACAAACAAACTTCTTTGTGTAATATTATTAATACACAATTTTTTATCACTAAACTCTCCGTTTCTTTAACCTAAGGGCATGAATGTTTATTCTCCACATTATACGTTATTACGTTGATTAGACAATTTTCTAACTTACATCCCAGTTTAAATATAAGCAAAGATCTCGTGTTTTTTTCTTCTTCTGAAAACTTGTTATATAAGGCTTTTGATTCTCAAGCAAGTCTAATAAAGTGGAAATATCTTTATTAAATATTTTATGGCTAGTATTTTTGTTCTTAAAATAATCGATCAAATTATGTAACGATCTTTTAAAGGCTTTAGAAAGTAAAGCAAAATTATACAGTCAGTTGATGTTTATTTTTACAGCACTGTTTAATTATTCAAAATGTCAATCAAACTGCATGTGTTACATCATGTTCATTACATCTTAACATGTACTGCATCATGGTCATTACGTTTTAATAAGAAATTTTAATGCTTAAACCTGCAACAATGGTTATTTTAGAATACGTTTAAACAGTGTTGTATTTTGATTTATTTATTTTTTGATGCATCACGTATTGTAAAATTCTGTTTCAGCTTGTACTTTTTTATGCAGTCTTCGTTTGCGTAATACGGAATGTGCTTAAAATGTACGTGGCGAGCGTGACCCAGTGGTTACCGTGCCCGATGTTCCATTGTTTGAGCCCCGTTTCCGCCAAAAAAAAATCGCGATCCCCATTTTTGGGCTGTGGATGC